AAACCTGTGATGCCCACAATTTTTATGCTGAATAAAAAATTTTAACTGAAATGTATTGGTCTCGTCAATACCTATCGATTGGTCCAAAAAAAATTTGCCACGCCCACTCTAACGCCCAAAACGCTTAAATCTGTATACCGCCGGTAGGTGGCGCATTTTAATCTCGCTTTGCTACTTGCATATCTCTATTTAGCTGAGTAACGGGTATCTGATAGTCGAGGTACTCGACTATAGCGTTCTTCCTTGTTTTTTTTGTAAATGTCATTATTATACCCGTTACTCGTAGAGTAAAAGGGTATACTAGATTCGTCGGAAAGTATGTAACAGGCAGAAGGAAGCGTTTCCGACCCCATAAAGTATATATATTCTTGATCAGGATCACTAGCCGAGTCGATCTAGCCATGTCCGTCTGTCCGTCTGTCCGTCTGTCCGTCTGTCTGTCCGGATGAACGCTGAGATCTCGGAAACTATGAGAGCTAGGCTATTAAAATTTGGCGTACAGATTCCTGAGCTTCTTACGCAGCGCAAGTTTGTTTCAGTAGACTGCCACGCCCACTCTAACGCCCACAAACCGCCCAAAACTGTAACTCCTACAGTTTTGATGCTAGACAGAAAATTTTAACTGAAATGTATTGTTCTCATCAATACCTATCGATTGACTTAAAAAAAAGTTTGCCACGCCCACTTAAACGCCCACAAACCGCGAAAACCTGTGACGCCCACAATTTGCATGCTAGTTAAAAAATTTTAACTGAAATGTATTGGTGTCGTCAATACCTATCGATTGATCCAAAAATAAATTTGCCACGCCCACTCTAACGCCCATAACGCTTAAAACTGTCTACCGCCGGTAGGTGGCGCATTTTAATTTCGCTTTGCTGCTTGCATATCTCCTATTCCCTTTGAGTAACGGGTATCTGATAGTCGAGGTACTCGACTATAGCGTTCTTCCTTGTTAATACTGTAACAACTGTGTAGATTGATTGTGCATAGCTGCGATTCAATTCAATAAATATTTCAGCTTAAGTAGAATAAGTCAAAATTGGTTTGAGAAGCAGCCCCGATTATACAATAGCCCCAAAGGCGAATATTTACTGAGCCGCAAAATGTACTACGCCCAAACAACTGAAGCCCCGCCACCCGTTTGCCATTGTTTGCTTTGCCAGTGAATTTGTGCGCCATCGACCCACATGAAAACATTTTTCATTTTCATTAAAAAAGTGTGCACAACAAAAAACCGCCCGCGACTTTATAATTTAATTTGAAAAGCGGAGGGCAGCGCCCAAAGCGAAGGGCCGAGTGGAGCGAAGCAAACTGCAAGTGCAAAAACATAAAAAATAATTATTAAAATAAATTAAATGTCTGCTGCTGCCCCCATAAACTTCGTCGAGTGGGCAATTAAAGGAGCCGGCGTGTGAGACGTGGGGGGTATAATGGTACGTGGCTAGTTTTTTTCCTCAGGAGTTGAAGAGTTAAGCGCCAGTCGAAAAAAGCACACACACACAGAAACCGAAACCGAACCGAAAAAAAAAATCAAATTGCTGCCATGGCATTTTGACTCGAGTTTCACACAACGCCATGGTAAATGGCAAAAAATTGGCATGTGAAACGATTGCAGTTCCTGTCCCTTCGGCTCGGCCTCCTGGCCATTGCCGCAATAAAGGCTCCAGTTAATAAAGCTAACAGAGCATGTGCTGTGTGTCAAAAAAACGAATAAAATTATGTGTTTGTATGGTGGTATGGTGGTTCAGGGGGAAGGTAAGCCCAAGGCAAGGAACGGCAATCGGAAATATGCAGACAGACTAAAAAATTACCGGAAATGAGCTCCATTATAATGCACAGCTATTTGCGGCTTCCCGCTGGGTTTTCTCATTATAAATCACAATAAACGCTATTATCATGTTTTCAGGGGCATAGCAATTATTTCTTTATTACAAAAAACTCAGGAAGTCATTGTCTTAGTTTACTTAATTATTCTGTTTTATTTTTAAATTATTGTTTTAATAATAAAGTATTGCATTGGAGCTGGAGAAGTAGCAGTTACTTACTTAAGAACTTTATTTAAGAACTACGTTTAACATCTAATCAAAATCTGACAGTTATAACTATAATGGACAAATACATGGATATTAAAAAATAGAACAACATTTGGTTCATAGAGATAATGATAAGGTAAAATAGGACGATTTGAGTGACAATATAAGGTCAAGACCATTTAAAAGTGTAAAGTGAATGCGGGTAAAACAAAACTTTTACTTTTTAAAATGTTTGCATCTAAAACTTTTGCTAGTTTTCTCTGTGTAATGATTTTTTGGGTCTGCTTTTGTTAGTTATTTCTTTTTAATCCAATCATTGTTTTTGATCAAAATTGGTAGCGATTTAAAAAGCTTAAAAAATCTGATTTTTTCAGGATATCAGCGAGTGACGAATTGAAGGGATTTCGGTCAAATTGAGTTGGCTAATTTGCTTTACAATATTTTTTCCATACTTTGGAATGGGTGGGCTTAACTAAGTTCGTTGTTTTAAAATAAAATGAATGTATAAATCTTTTTTTGACAATTTTGACTTTCTTTTTATATGCTTCATAAATCCAATTGGCGTGTTTGATGTAAATTGGAAATAAATTGGACAATTTTTTTATGGGTAAACAAAGTATTTAGATTGTTATTATATATATTTTATTATTTAAAAACTAATTGCTTAACTTTGACGAGCCCGAAACTGAACTACTACTCCCTGTCGAGAAAAACATTTAACCAAAATGTTTTTTTTTTAATTTTTGATTTACCGATGGAAATTTCGATTGCCAAAACTTTAGCATATAAACGTGGAATTTCATTTTTTACCTATTTTCGAAGAAAGACCAAAATAAATTTTCGGATCAAAAAGTTTCAAACAGAAAATCCCCAGGTTTGTTAAGCTGTTTTCTGTCTTTATTTTTTAATTGCTTGTAAAACTTTTTGCTTGCCACTTGAATTCTTTTTTTCATTTTCGGTTAGCTTCAGAGACAAATTGTTATGTTTTATCCATGTGGCACATAAAATCACGTTTTAATATTTTATGCTGTGCGAATGGGAAGTTTACGTAATGTTATTAATATAAGTGATAATTGCAATATGCACAATAATCGAATATGGTCAGAGAAATTGAACGTTGTTATTGCGAAATCATTTCTATTGTCAAAAAACTTTTTCGCACGCGTGACATTGATCGGTTTAATGACGCGAAGCCGCAATAAATTTTAACACATTAATATTTGACAGCATATTAAATCGAGCCATTGGAAACGCATGCAGCCCAACTTTCATCAGGTTAAAGCCAACTCTGACCTTTAATAAAAAGCAGTGAGCCAGTTTTTGTTTCACTTAGCCAACTGCTTCTATTGTGGGCCTTGGCTCTCCTTTTTTGCGCTTTGATACTTTATGCTTTTTGTCCTGCCCCTTTTCGTATGCAGTGCATTTTTTCTTCACTTTTCCTTCTATCTTTTTTTCTTTGACCAGCAAACTGTTTGGTTGGAACTGTCGAAATGCCATAATTACAATGGACTGCTGGACTCGATAACTGTTTTCCAATAAAATAATAAGTATTTACTTTTGAAATGGAAAGCAGGTCTATTTAGTTTCCCAACTGTAGAATGTAGCAAAAATCCCACTCGATATTTGGCTAAATATTATAATATGGTCATTTTTAGAAATTATGTCAAATTTCGACCAGGCTTGTTTGAAGAATTGGTCCATAAATCTATCTTTTAGAAATGGCTTACGTGATTTTAATATTCCACCATCTGATATGTACAATGTTCATACCTTGAACACATTTTTGATCACAACTTTTTTTTAATAATTCTTACATTAATTTTTAACTAATTGCGGTTTTGAATGTTAATTTACGAAAATTTAAAATGAAGTTATTATAGAGGTTAGCAAGAAACCATGAAATTTTGTTTTTCAAATCTTGAACAATATTTTGAGCCGTTTTTGTGGTGGTCTTATTTCTTATGAATTGAAATTGTATCCACAATCGAATAATATATTATCTTGGGCTGAGAAAAGATTTAATTGAAATATGCACATAACATTACATTTACGTGCACCTTGCACGTGTTTTTTATATTTTTTATCAAGAGTACGACTTAGTGCTCGCTGAATTCTCGCTAATTTCTTGGTAAATTAAAAACAAACGAGAAAACAAAAAATATTACTAATATATTTTTGAAAAATAAACGTACTTTCTCCTAGCCGAGACCGCAACCACCGCAAGCTTTTGATTAGCGAAGTCATATCCCATAAGAGCTTTTTCGAACTCGACTCGTGTAAAGTAAAGTAAGGTAAGGTAGGTTCGAAGTGATTGTTCTAATGTTATAGACATGCGTGGGTTCATGGTGTGATTAAGGGGTTCAAAACCACCTTCCCAGGTGAAACGATAAGAATCAAATGTGGTTTTCAAAAACAATGTTTGGGAAAGATTAACTTAATTAATGTTTTAAAACATATTATGTTGAGGCATAGCGCATTTATCTGGTTGCCCTAGAATGTTAAGTTATGTTTAACTGTATTCGTATCGAAATTTTTAAAATTTCACTTTTAATTTAATATTCTAAAAATCTTTCTAAAGGCCCATATAATAGAAATGATTGAAAAATATGCTTCTTGAACAGGGAAATAAATTAATATTCATTGTTGAAAAATTAATATACAGCATTCATAAATTAATTTAGCATGTAATAAATAGGTTAATTCAATATTGACGGAAATATAAATATTTCCAACAAGTTTTCACTGGTTTAAAAATAAAAGACTTTGTTATTTTATATGAATAATACCAAAACACAGATAAATTTATCTTCATAATCTTTAATGACGAACCATCAAAAATGTTTGAGGTTGTCTTATGTATTTTCTTGTTGTACAAAACACACAAAGAATAAAAGCAGATAGTGGTAGACCAGATTGTGTCATGTTTATAAGATCCACACAAAGCGGCTGTAGCCTCAGTTGCTCATTGTATCCCCAATGGACTTCATGCTTGTTTTTCTAACCTCCCTGCTGAGTTTTCTGCTGGGCTATCTGCGGTACCGCTTTAACTACTGGGAACTGAGGGGAGTTCCGCAGCTGAGGACGCACTTTCTCTATGGGAACTTCTTCAAGATCCAGTCGGTGCACCTCAGCGAGCTCCTCCAAGAGACCTACGATGCCTTTAAGGGGACCGCTCAAATGGCAGGGACCTACGTCTACTGGCGACCCATTGCCGTGATTCTGGACCTGGATCTGGTCAAGTTGGTGATCATTAAGGACTTCGGACGATTTGTGGACCGACGAAGCTTCCACGGCGATGTGCTGACCGCCAATCTTTTCAATCTTCAGGGCGAGGAGTGGCGTGCTCTGCGGAACAAGCTATCGCCCACATTTACGAGTGGAAAGATGAAGTACATGTTTGGAACTATCACCAAGGTGGCCCAAGAGCTGGGGGAGACCTTTGAGGAACTAGTTGGATCTCAGGTAATGTTAAAAAAAAGGGTTATAATGTTAGAACTGATAATAAAATGCATTTAATTGAAATTAATTGGCTTAAGAACAATAACGAAAATAAACGTTAAAGTACGAGTATATACTCTAAATTATTTAGTCTTGAATCTATACTATAAAACCAATACTGTCTGTGGTATTGATTTATTACAACCGGTATTAAATCTTTACTTTCTGATTTTTTCTATGTACAAGAAAGAAAATCCTGATTAAAAAATTACAAATTGCCCATTTCCAGGTTTTTTACCAAATTTTTTTCAAAAACGATAAATGATCTAGTAAAATAATAATATGAGTATTATTTATATTAAAACTTTTTCCCTTTACTGATTAATTAATAACATTCTTATTAAAGGGGACCATTCTGGAGCTCCACGATCTGATGGCCCGCTACACAACAGATGTTATTGGAAGGTGTGCCTTTGGAACCGAGTGCAACAGCCTAAAAAATCCGAAAGCAGAGTTCCGGGAGGTAGGACGACGGCTATTCCAAAACAACAAAAGGAGCATCCGTTGGCGGGTCTTCAAAATGACATACCTTAGCTCGCTGGCCAAGCTTGGTCTTCCGGTTCGAGTCGTTCATCCGGATATCACCAAATTTTTTATCCGTATAGTTCGCGAAACAGTGGATTCAAGGGAGCGCGAGCAGATCCGTCGGAATGATTTTATGGACCTCCTGCTCGATCTTAAGAGGCAGGAAAATGGAATAGGACTAACCGTAGAACAGCTGGCCGCGCAGGCCTTTGTGTTCTTTGTGGCCGGATTTGAAACCAGCTCTAGTAACATGAGCTACGCCCTTTTCGAATTGGCCAAAAACCAGGATGTGCAGGAGAAGCTGCGGCTGGAGATCAGCGAGGTGATAGCTAAACACGGGGAACTAACCTACGAGGCCATGCTGGACATGCCCTACTTGGACCAGACAATCACAGGTGTGTATGAGTCGTGATCTATTGAAGATTTAATTTCTCAGGCTGTGGTTGTCCCCCTTCCGTCAGAGAAAGGACCTCTCGAGTGAAATGCGGGTACAGGCTTCATTGAACTAGTGGTTGCTCTCGGAATATTGTAGAAGTCAGATAAATTTCGGGAAAAGAGATATGCCTTTGCACTTTAAATCATGAAAATTGATAGATCGTATCTTTCTTAAATCTGCAAATATTTGCTAAGCTAATAAGGCGTCAGATATTTAAATGAAGTTAACAAAAGAATAATTGTCTTACTAAAAAGATAACATATATTATTTACAGAAAAAAATGGAAACAAGGAAGAAGAGAAATTTGAAAGAAGAGAAATCTGTCGTCTGGAAGTTAATATAATCTTGAAGATATAACTACAGTCTATAATATGAAATTTTCTTGTCTTTCTGTATATGCTTTTGAGAACAACGAAGCTCTGTCCGTTTTTATAAATTATTATCCGAATGTTCTCATGAGGAACTTCCAATGACAATTGTTAATCCATAATTTATATATAATTTTCTCTGAAACTCTTTCTCAAACTCATTCTCAAAAACTCTTATTTTCATGGGAAAACTAAAATGAATCGTAGGTGAATGGCTTACAAAATCTGAAGATCTTTGTAAAACTGTAAAAGGTGATTAGCATTTAACCAATGTATTTATTATAGAAAGTGCCAATTTCTTTATTTAAAAATATATTTTGTCAGTTCAAGGCAAGGTTGCATTATGTTCATAATGTTATTGATTTAATACTGATTTAATTACTGATTTCCAAGTTGTACTCACCGCCTCCAGAAACCCTCCGCAAGTATCCGGCCTTGGGCTCACTCACCCGCCTGGCCACCGAGGACTACGAGATTCCCAACAGCGACGGTGGCGATGGAGAACCTATCATCCTGGAGAAAGGCACCATTGTCCACATTCCGGTGCTGGCCATCCACTACGATCCCGAGATCTACCCGGAACCCCATGAGTTTCGACCAGAGAGGTTTGCGCCGGCTGCCTGCCAGGAGCGACATCCCACTGCCTTTCTGGGCTTTGGCGATGGACCGAGGAACTGCATCGGTATGCGATTCGGGCGGATGCAAGTGAAGGTGGGCCTGATCGCCTTGCTCAGTCGTTTCCGCTTCAGCTTGCCCCTTGGATCCCCTCAGCAACTGAAAGTCACCAAGAAGAACTTGATATTGCTGCCCGGCGAGGGTGTTCGGTTGCAAGTCGATCGTTTGTAGTCGCGCCTAATGTAAACACCTTTTGGTGCGGGAATAAACATTACTGCCTGGCTTTTCGTCAGCAGAATATTCAATTAAATTCCCCCGTTCGACGGTCGATTGAAAGCCAAACCAAAATTTATAGCAGCCGCAAAATCCCAGCCCCCCATCCATTTGCCACCCAAGGCTACTGCTCAGTTATCCCAGAATTCGACACCATGGGCATTAAATCAACACAGGCGACAAACAGGAGGGTTTGGGAGGGGACCTGGGCAGCCATGTGAGCCGACCAAAAGCCATTGCGGTTCAGTTTGATGCACTTCTCCAATGGCCAGCCCCCCAAAGCACCCCCAAACACCCCCCAAACACCACCTTCATTGAGTGTGTGTGAGTTGCCTGCATAAATCCAAACATTTACAATATTTTGCTAATTAGCAAAATATGTGTGAATAATGCATTTGACCAGGGGGGCGGGATGATGGCGGAGTAGTGCTGCATCCTGCAGGTGTCATATTAAATTTATGACTAGAGCTGCCCACACAATCAAGAGACACTCGGGTAGATGGAGAAACTGTGACAAGTGGCAGCAGTGGACAGGAGTCTCAACATTTTGGCCATTTTGGTGATTAGTTGTGGGCCAGCAGGAGCCCCACTGCCGGCATAATGAGCAGCATAAATCAATAAATGGAAAATGAGTGAAAGCAGGCACATAGATTTAAGCACAATATCCAAAAAAAAACAACTTAGTTCTAACACTCTGTACTAAGTTAGAGCTGTTACCATTTTCTTCTCAAAAATCATGATAATAAAGGAGAGTCTTTCTTACTATCTACTTGTACTTACACATAAAAAACTAGCAAAAGCTGTAGGTGGAAGGACAGTACTGAAACGTTTTAAAAAGTAAAATGCTTCAAGCTAATTTTTTTTACACATGCTGTTGTTTTATTTACTTTTTAAAATGTTTTCACCATATATTTGCACCGAAAACGATCATTTTTAGGGCATAATTTTCTGTGTGTACTAGTTATAACTAGTTCTGAGCTTTTTTCGAATTTTTATTTCATTTATATATCACAACCTTGTCTTAATTTTAAGCACACCATAAGAACAAATCCTTGCAACTATCTCCATTTTATTTTTATTTCACTTATACTTCACAGCCTTTTTCACCAGTTGAAATTATAATATGTTTATTAATTTTCCGATATCGCAATATTCGTCTTGACAATTGATGTCCACAAATTGAACTGATCCAATCGATCGTTTTGAGGAGCACTTTTAGATATCTAAGTGAGTATGGCGAATTATAAACATTTAAAAGAGAGTGCGAATTCAGCCTAATGCTATGAAGAGAACAATAAAGAACAGTAGAGAAATGCGGAAAGGTGGGAAGAGTCGTCGATCTATTTAAGAGTATTTGAGGGATACCACTCTAAAACTAATTATATAATAATCCTAATATATACCTTATATATAAGTATAATATATATTATAAGCTATAATTTGTAAAGAAGTAAAGTATACAAATTTTCAAATATGCCAATACACCTTAAAATACAGCCTATTAAGTTTTAAATATATTTTATTTAAGGTGGCTCGAAAAATATTCTAAAATTTCTTTAAAAATCTATGCAATTGATTGGATAAAGGATTTAGAACTGGAAAATAATAATTATTCCATTTAGGTTTAAAATATGATTTGAACATCAATAAGTAAAGTCTAGAGATATTAAAACTTTGAAGGAAAATAGATTTAGTTTTAAGATCCTTTTCAATTACCAATACTTATTTGCACTGGGGCCTAATTTTTTTTATTTCATTGCTCAACACTTTTTAAGTTTACAATTAACTCTAAATCTTTGATTATATGTATGATCTTCTCAATGTCTGTCAATTATAGTTGATAAGTTTTGATTGCAGATATATTACTCAAGCTTTTAAGCGGAACATTGCTAATGTGAAATCATATTTTTGAAACTTTTGTGTTCCCTTCCATGCCTTTTAATGTCCTAATTTTAGGCACACCATCAAAACAAATTCTTGCAACTATTTCCATATAATTATAGCCTTTTATGGACTTTTAATTGGCAATTTCCTAAGCAGGCTGGCAACCTTGACGCTCCGTCTATAACTCAGCCCGAACTTTTGTCTGTTAAACGGCGCCGTAAAAGCGAAAATATAGTCATAATTTATGGCAGTTAAGCAGCTAACAAACTATCCTGCAGATACTCCCCTTATCCCTTAGATACTCCAGGACCTTTGCATGTTCAGCCACCATCATCGGGGGGTGCGGGGGAGGGGGTGTAGGGTACCCCATGAGGTGGTGGGTTCAGAGGGGAAAGGTGATTCGTCGGTTGGGGTGGCAGGTGAAAGAACTGCAGCTGTCGTCGTCGCATCCAGCACAAAACGCGGAAGCGAGTGAAAAGCAATTATCAGGTGTCAAAATTTATATTAGGGAGTCCCAAGCTGGAAAAAGGATACCGGCAAGGAAGCGAAGTATAAAAAGAAAAAACAAAACAAGAAACTTGAAAACAAGTTGGGAGCCCTACGAGTCCTGATACACGGAAAAAAAATACAGAACACAAAATTAATTATGTTTTCATTTATTTTGATTTATTCTTCATTTTTCTCTTAATTCTTGACTGTTCAAATAGGCATATATTTAAAAGTAATTCACATTGCGTAATTATAAGCAATTCACTAACTACACAGAGAAAATTCTGACGTTCTCATCTGAGTTGAAAGTGTTCTTAAAAATAGAACGACATTTTTAAGTTGAAAATGTTTTTATTTGGCTCGAATCAAGTTGATTTGGAGGTATTTAAGTACATTGTATGCCCTTAGTGTATACTTATCAAAAAGTTGTTAATAAACTCGATTTAACTTTTCTCTTCTCACCATTTCGTTCTTATATTGATACAAAAATGTACTTACACGGTTTTTAAGATCGAATGTTCTCAATGTACTTACACAAAAATGTACTTCCACGGTTTTTAAGAACGAATGTTCTCAATTCAAGAACAATGTTCTCAATTTAAGAACAATGTTCTTAGAAAGTTTTCTCTGTGTATTTTTATTTAATTTTTAACTGAACTTTTAATTAACCCTTAATTTGAAAACCCCCATCAAATCCTTAATTTTTGTAAATTTTAAATAAATCCTGTATTCAACCGTTTGTAAAAAAATGACTTTTTTTAACTATAAGATATTCTTAAATTAACCCAAGATGTACTTTTCATGTAAGCTTGGGTTATTTATTTCAAATGCCTTAACTGTATTTCCAATATTTTTCCAAAGTGTATCCCTAACCCTTTTTGTGAAAATGATTTGTGGCTCCAGTGCATTGGCACGCAATGAAAAGTTTCTGATGAGGAAAAGCAAGGGGATAGATAGAGCTCTGGGCTTCGTCCGGACGGTTAGTAAAAATTCTTTTTATACTGCATAAAATATGTTATTGGTATGGCTAGCCTCTTCCCTCCGTTATTATTTATTGGTCGTGTGCGTGTGTTTTGCGAAATTATATGCCTATTATATAGACGTGAAAGGAGGGGACAGGGGTTGATTAGCTCCCGAAAAGCCACTGATATATATGAGAAATCTGGAGTTGCAGGGAGGTGGCCAGTTCAAATCAGTGCCTGACACAATGTGGCACGGTTATTGAAAACCAACTTGGCGAGTGTGCGTCTACTGGATCGTTCTATGGGTGGGTGTTTTTCCGGTCGCGAAGCACTTGCCTCACAAAATTGAAATCTCAAAGAAAAAGTTTCATGGGGCACATAAATTTAATTAAATGATAGATCTTGACGAACAACTTTGAAGCACTCTTGAACCGATAGCAACCCTTTAAATTAACATGAATTTTATTTCAATAAGAAAAGACTATAATTCCGAAATTTTAAAGAAATGCTTTTGAATTTAGAAAGTAGGCATCCAAATTCAAAATTAACTTGTGAATAAGGACTTTAATATTATGGTCTTAAATTCTTTTTTATATTAAATTAATAAAATTAACTTGTTAAAAACAATTTTTGAAAACGATTTTTCTAGCAATGTTAATAACTGGACATCAAATTATTTTAAAAATAGTATTCCTAATATTCAATCAAACTTTTATGATCTCAGAATTTAAATTTTTTTGTAATCTTAAATTTAATAGAACCAATTTTGTTAAAAAAATTGGCTTAGAATTAAATGTTTTGTTGTTAATAATAACCATTTCAATATAAATTAGCTCTAGAATTAAATTTTTGGTTGTTAATAATAACCATTGTTTGTAAACTTCTTCCTCTGCCAAACTTTACAAAGACATTTTTTTGGACAATGGAAAATAGTTAGTCTTTTCAAATATTATTTTATTTTACTAAGGATGCACATTTGTGTCAAAATAACTTTATCTAAAATGATTGTGTTATGCTGAAAAATTAAATCGAATCGTTTGTCAAAGGTCTCCAGGTTTGAAAGCTAACTAACTTGCAAGTTTTAATTAGCTTCGAAGAGATTTCAAGGAGTAAAGTAATTGTTTAACCTCTGCTCCTTTTTCCCTTACCTAAAACCAAGAATGTAAACATTTCAAAGAATCTTTATCGGATTAAATTATGTGATTATCCCATCTGCGATAATCGAAGGCCACGACCAATGACAATTCGTTTTTCCAACGCACGCATTTACTTACTATTACCACCCACAAACCACCCCCCCCCCTCTCTGTTAAACCACCCCCTTCATTACCCCCCCTTGAAGTTGACCCTTTTCTACGCCACAGAATTCATTCATAAATGCCAAAAGTATGCAGAGAGAATTTCCCACCGCTTCAATCGCTTTCAATCCGTTTCAATCGGCGCTTTCAACCGAGCGCTGAGAGCGCTTCAATCGTGGTGAGTTTCCCAAGCACACCCCCCATTGGGCAGCCCACACACACACAGACACGCCGTGGAAGTTAGAAAAAAAGGAGCACAACGAAGTGAAAAGCGCCCGCCAACAAAAAGCAAAATAAAATGTGGCCCAGCAACAACAAAAATCAC